TGCTAGCAGGGTGCGCTTTATCCATGTTAAGTCGTCTTAGTACCTTTTGGATATACGCAGATTGGTGGATTAATACTCCACAAACTCGATGTTCAAATTCAAGGCCTAGACAAAATCGAGTTTTCCCAAGGTCTTTCATCTCAAACTCGGATTTCCAATAGCTTGTGGTTTCTCTTATTTCGTCAAGAGTGCCGATTATGTTCATGTCGTCGACATATGCTACTATGATTGCAAATCCGGAACTCGTTTTCTTTATGAATACGCAGGGCAAAGCTCATCATTCTTGTATCCCTTCCTAATCAAGTAGTCACTTAGGCGGGTATACCACATCCGCCCAGATTGTTTTAATCCGTAAAGTGAGCGTTTCAATTTTATTGCAAACGCACTCTGTGGTTTAGGGTCACTTGATTTAGGTAGTGAAAGTCAGTCAGGTACTTTCATATACCTCTGAATCAAGATCCCCATAGAGATATGCAGTAACCACATCCATCAATTGCATTTCCAATCCTTCAGAAACTCCTAAGCTGACTAGGTATCGGAACGTGATAACGTCCATTACGGGAGAGTAGGTCTCCTCGTAGTCAATCCCAGAGCGTTGTGAGAAATCTTGCGCCACTAGGCGAGCCTTGTACCTTAAGACCTCATTCTTCTCATTACGCTTTCTGACAAATACCCATGTATGTCCTACAGGCTTTACACTTGGTGGGGTTAGCACTACCGGACCAAATACCTGCCTTTTTGTCGGGGAATCTAATTCGACCTGGATTGCTTCTTTCCATTTAGGCCAATCAGCTCTTTGTTGGCATTCTGCCACAGAGCGAGGTTCGATATCATCATGCTCTATAATTTCTTGAGCAACTGTAAATGCAAATATATCATCGATGTGTATGGAAGATCTTTCCATTAGCACATGTGCATTTTCATAATCCATAGAGATTTCCTTGTTTTCTAGAATCATTTCGATCATCGGAGCGTCCTCCAGTAATGATTCGTGGACATAACTATAATCGAAGATAATATCATGGGATGGATGTTGTTCATCGATGATTAATGGATTAGGTTGTGCCGTACTCGTCCTCTTCTTCCTTGGACGAGTATCAATCGAACCAAGTGGTCTTCCTCTCTTCCTTTGAGGAGCCACGGCCTCAACCACACCTCCACTAAGTGTGGTTGCAGTGCCTCCTACTATGGCACTGTGCCCTCCCTTGGGAATTTCTAACCTTGCAGGCACATTTACAGCCGGTATGTGTGATCTTGTCACTTTTGCAATATCAGAAAATGCATCAGACATTGAGTCTGCTACATTTTGTAGGTCTATTATTCTTTTCACTTCACTTTCACAATGTGAGGTGCGGGGATCAAAATGAGACAGTGTAGGAACACACCAGGATAATTCATGTCGTTCTTCGGAGAAATCCTTTTCCTTATCTCCCCCTAATGACGGGAAGTTGTCTCATCAAAGTGACAATCCGCAAATCCTGCGGTGAAAAGATCGCCTGTCAAAGGTTCTAGATAGCGAATTATTGTTGGGGATTCGTATCCAACGTATATACCTAATCGCATTTGAGGACCCATTTTGGTGCGATGTGGTGGCGCAATTGGCACATAGACTGCATAACCAAATATGCGTAAGTGTGAAATGTCAGGCTCATATCCAGTTACCAACTGGTACGCAGAAAATGGTTGGTTCGCAGTGGGCCGAAAGCGAATAAGTAAGGCTGCATGTAATATTGCATATCCCCATGCAGATATAGGCAAGTTGGTGCACATAACCAACGCCCTAGCTATTGTTTGTAATCTTTTAATAGTAGCTTCTGCGAGACCATTTTGTGTGTGTACATGGGGAACAGGATGCTCTATGTCGATCCCGATACACATGCAATAGTCATTAAATGTCTTTGATGTAAACTCTCCGGCGTCATCAAGTCTAATGCAAATGCAGCATTTCTTGTGGACAATAAGGTAACATGTGACCAACGGGTCGATGCGTCCACCAGAACCATAAAGTATCTAAATGGTCCGCATTCTGGATGGATCGGTCCACATATGTCTCCTTGAATTCTTTGTAAGAATGGGATGTTTTGTTTTGTGTCTTTAGCATAGGATGGTCTCGATCATGTTTTTGCTAAAGAGCAGGCTTTGCAAAATGAGTTTTGTAATGTGGACATAGTTAGGGAAGCATGAGCTAGTTCTTCTTGTGCTTTAGAAGATAATTGTCCTTGTGGAGGAGCCGCATGGTTAACAGTTTGTACTGTGTTGACTTTTTGCCCTTCTTTATTCCTTTCTCGAAAGAAAGGGTGTCCATGTGAATTCTTGAGAATTCGAATCATTATGTCACGACCGGGGTGACCAAGACGATCATGCCAAAGCCTATACGAGTCTATGTCCAACATTCATTGTTGGAGACCACATATGATTCGAAGATTCAAATAGTAGTGACATAGAGTCCACTAGATTGACTCATTAATTTTTCTAATATGCGTTTTGTTCCGCTTTTACTAGAGGTAATATATAGGTATTCTATCTCATCCTCACTATGAGTTTCAACGTGAAAACCATTATCACGTATATCTTTAAAACTTAATAAAGTTCGAGTAGCTCTAGGTGCATATAGAGCGTCTGTGACGTGAAATGTGGTACCGTTAGGTAGCATAAATTTGGTGGTGTCTCGCCCTTGTGTTACGTTCGATGATCCAATCATCGTAGTCATAGAGGATTTATAGGCTACTAATTTAATAAAAAGTTGCCTGTGTCTAAGGATAGTGTGGGTTGTCCCACTATCGACTAAACATTCGAGTTCTCCTTGAGTCATTCCTCAAAAGAGATCCGGGAATTGGTGAGTCTCAGGCTAGGAAGGGGGGAGGCCGGGCGACGATCGGTGCTTTGGGAGGCGGCCAAGCATGGCTGGACTGCCGGCGGCGCGGTTGGACTGCCGGAGGCGCGGCTGCGGGTTGAGTGTAGGGAGAACGGGAGAAAAAATAGTTGAGGGTTACGTGCTGATAACATGTTGTAGGGAAGTGAGAGAGGTGTGTTATTCCAATAGGTAGACCCTCTTTAAATAGAGGAGAATTAGGTTTATACAAGGGTTGGGCTTCTCGGGCCCATTAGTTCAGTACATAATATATTAGCGAATATTCTATCTATAATGACAGCACACTACAAGTAATTTCCTTTAACAACATAATGTTTTTGGAATGGACAGTTAATTTAGGCTTCCAAGTCAGATGATTCTGGCAAAATTTTCAAAATTGTACCATCAGTTAAGACATTTACTTAGAAATACTCAGGATATTAATTTAATTTATTTATGAAATAATAAAGTTACGCAAATACCCAATAACACTAATCAATAATTATAATGTTACAAATAGTAATACTTTTAAAATTTTATTTTTAAAAATGCAAATTAAAATGCAATGGGCTTGAATGGTTGTACATAAGCAAAAAGAAATTAAAACCTGAGACTAGACCGAATCGGAACGTGCCGGTCGACAAGAATGGGCTCAGAACTGATAGCCACAACTTTGATTGTACATTTGTACATAAATGTTACGCAGGACTGACCAATCCTGGGACTGAACCCGATCGGCGTGTAACTCGTATTATAAGTTTATAACTATTCTTTCGACATGGGATATAGACAAATAATAAAAAACTTTTGCACTTAATATACTTGTTTTTCTAGTATTTTTTCAGGTATAGCCCCCTGAAAATCTCATTTATGTTAATCATCTTGTATTTCAAGAAATTATGCCTTCTTTTGAGAGGTTTACTTTTGACCTAGTCCCCATCTCTTTTTTATAATTATTTTCATTTCAATACAAAATCGGTAAATGTTCTTGACATTTATCACATCGACGGGTGGTTTGCGTACGGCGTTGAAAAAAATACTTGTTTTTCTAGCTTGGCTTTTTAAAAAGAATTCTTATCCTACCCATGTTGGAGGTCTTGAGTTATGTCACTAAAACGGCAAATTTGGGAGGAGTTTCTCAAATGATTATCCTCCGTCCTCTCGGCTAGCTTGACTAATCGCGCAATCAACGTTTCATCCCCCTCAATAGATCAGACTAGACTTAAACAATAATAAAATATACTCTCTCCATCCTGTTGGAAGGTTCCCATAGCAAAGCAGCACGGTTATTTAGACAATAATTAAATAAAGTATTTTGAGTATATTTTGAGAAATAATTTTAATAGGTATATATTATGATGTAGTTAGTATTGATAATTGTGATGTTATAAGGATGTTTTTACTTGGACTGTAATTTGCTGGTCTGGTCTGGTCTGATCTGGTCTGATCTGGTCTGGTTTCTTTGTATTTTTATAACTATCCAAGTCTAGTCTGGTCTGGTCTGATCTGGTCTGGGAGGAATTATAGTCCAAGTAAAAACATCCTAAATGTATTATTTTTAATATTTAATGATTAATTTGTCACTTAAGATTGTTAATTGTTTCCTAAAATGGAAATGAGAACCTTCTAACGAGACGTCCAAAAAAGGAAAGTGGGAACCTTCTAATGGGACGGAGGGAGTACATAAAACAAACATTTCCTAGACTAGATCAATTGAAAACAAACTTAAACAAACTAAAGCAGACTAAAATAGACCAGAAAATTCAATTCAATTGAAAACATCTTAGTTCTCAAAACTAGTTTCTTTGTTTTATTTTTGCAAAGAAACTGTAATACCAAATGAGGCCTTAAGTTCACCGTTCCAATTAAACGTTTCAATTTCTCATCCGTTGCAAAGGGAAACCAACTCAAAATAGTCGGTTATTTTTGCTTACCAATTGCCATCACATTGCTAAGCTGAAAACTTATGTCTAGGACTTCTTGGGCTAGTCCTGATCTGCTTCCAGTTCTAGATAGGCTGGTCCAGAAAAAGCTAAAGGGTGGAACCGTGGAACAGGGAGGGACCTTATTCGGATAAACTCAATTTGGTTCCGATTATGGTCCTATTTTGCAAGAACAGAAACCAGTTTGGACTGGTTTAGGATACCTGCTCCGATTGAAAGCAAAAAAACAAGCACTGTTTCACAACTCATAACACATTTGTACCACTTCAAAAATCGCTGCTTTGCACCCTGGCACCCTGCTATTGTAAATAGCAGCGTACAAGCAGCTATGTGTCCAGGGTGAAACTCAACATTATTTTTCATATCAACAATTAAAACTAATACTAGTGGTTGTCACAATCAAGGAAGTCCTAACCTCATTACATAAATGAAAGAAAATCCTAAATAACTAAATATATTAGGAAGAAATGAAAAGGGCAGAGCGTTCACAAGTTTCTTTTTATGAAGTCCCATATTCTCGATTCCATGTAAACGCGGTCCCTATGTCGGCGAGGCATGTGACGCTCATCAGGAAATATGAGCAGCTCATAAAACTTTCCGACAGCTGCAAGTGCATTAATAAGCCTTGCAGTGTGTCCAAAAAGCACGTTTTCATCAATCATGCCATGCACCAGTAAGAGCTCCCCCTTCATCTTGCTGACATGGTGCATCACAGAGCTCTCCTCATACCCCGAGGGGTTTTCATCAGGACGGCCCATATACTTTTCAGTATAGAATGTGTCATATCCATCCCATGACGTGACAGGGGCACCTGAAACAGCACATCTGAATAGTTCTGGAAACTTTGCAAGTGTCATAGCTGACAGATATCCGCCATAGCTCCATCCGTAGAGTCCAATGTGACCTTCCTTCGAAAGCCCGTGTTTCACAAGCCACTCAGCTCCTGTTGCCTGATCCTCACTTTCAACTCCGCCACAGTTGTGCTTGAGTGCACCTTCAAACTTGAGTCCTCGTCGAGCAGTGCCTCTGTTATCCATCTGCAATCAGGGTCAGATTTTCATGCCTCCATCAATGTTGGGATTCAAGTCAATAAACTTCGGTTCAAAATTCAAACATCCCCTCCATCCCAAATTTATCTTCCTGTTTTGGTTTATTATATTTAACTAATGATGAATTTAACGACTTTCTCCAATACAAAAATTAAGGGGAAATTCTTTAACGAACTTCTTTAAGGAGTAAAAATGTTTGAGAATTCAAAAATAAGACTGTCATGCTTTTGTTTTTTGTTTTTTTGCGATGAAAAGGGAGATTATTGATAAAAAATCTCAGAATTACAATCAGATTTGAGAAAGAAAGCAATCTGAGGAGGCGCATCAAGGCGTAACAACCCCTCTTCCGAATAATTTTTGACTAATTGAGCTAGTTCATGTGCAACCCGATTCCTCTCCCTCTTCACTAAGCTAAAACGAACCCCCGGGAAAGACATAACCACTTCATTCACCTCCTGCAGCAGCATACCAAACCTGGAAGCATCTGTCAAAAGCCTTGATAAGCTAGAAAAGATAACCGCACAGTCACCCCTTCAATAATCACCGGCATATTAATCCATATCTTGGCGATCCGTACTCCTTCAGCACAAGCTAGAATTTCAGCCTCTGTTGCTTCCGTACACCTGGGAAGCTTCCTCCAAGCAGATAAGAGAACTTCACCCCTACAGTTGCGAATAATACATCCCGCAGTTGCTGTCCCCGTTGCCGGATCAAAGCTCGCGTCTGAATTTAGCTTTGCCCATAACTGAAGCCTTGCCTTTACCATGAATCACCTCATTCCGCAAGTACCATGCTTGCCAGAACATCATCAGGATGCTTGAGCGCATCTCTTTATCAACCCCAATCAAAAGATTTAGAAACCATTCCGGGCCAGTTCTCCTGAAATGCTTCTCCGGAGGTAGCTGCCAGAAACTTCTCAAAATGTCCCGAAGAGCTTTAGCTTTTGTGCATTCCACAACAGCGTGGAAACCATCTTCCTCGCTGTGCCCACAAATTGAGCAAATACCAGTAGGCGGAAGCTTCCTCCGTAACCGATTTATTTGTGTTGCTAAAGCTTCACGGGCTAAACGCCATCCAAAGATTCGTATCTTTTGGGGCACTTTGATATCCCACAAAATTTTCCAAATGCTCCTTTCCCCATTGCCGGTCCCACTACTTTCCCGTGCTTTGAGACTGGAGTCTACTTGACATAGCAAGAAGATATGCACTCTTGACAGTAAACATACCAAGTTTGTCAAAATGTCATGCTAAAAAGTCCTCCCTTGTAGTTAGTTACTGGCAGTCTTATCTTTAAAATTTCCTATGCATCCCAAGGCAAAAAAATATCCTTAATGAGATTCTCGTTCCAGCCCCCCACCCCCACCCCCCACCCGGAATTATGAGGTCACTCACTCTTCTACACCTAGTGAACCTCCTTTTCCCCTTGATTTTTAGAGCATTATCCCGTGGTATCCAATTGTCCCGCCAAATATCCACTGCAGCACTGGATCCAATACGCCAAATAACTCCTTTTTTAGAAGCTCAAGGCCATGTAGAATGCCTTGCCAGGATGGTGAGCTTCCACTTGAGAAAACAGTGTCATAAAGTTGGCCTCCAGGGAAATACTTTGCCTTAAGCACCCGTGCACACAAACTCTGAGGAAACTGCAGGAGTCGCCATGCTTGCCTAGCCAATAGAGCTTGGTTGAAGGATTTTAAATCACAAAAGCCCATTTGACAGAAATCTTCTGGAGCCGCAAGTTTCTCCCAAGAAATCCAGTGAACCTTTCTTTCGTTCAACTCATCCCACCACCAGAAATTTCGAATCAGTTGCATAAGCTCCTCACACAGGCCAGCTGAGAGTTTGAAAATTCCCATAGAGTAAGTGGGGATTGCTTGCATAACCGACTTGATTAAGACCTCCTTCCCCCCTGCAGAAAGGTATTTTTCCGCCCAGCCATTACACCGCTTGTTAAATTTATCTTTAAGAGTTTGGAACCTCTCATTTTTCATTCTTCCATTTGGCATAGGGAGACCAAGGTATTTCTCCTCGAAACCCGCTTTTTCTACACCGAGGATGCTCTTCACCACCTCTTGGTTCTCTGCATTGCAGGATCTTCCAAACAAAACAGAACATTTCACAACTGACGCCTGGTCTCAAGTAGCCTTCAAAAATAGGGGATTATCATCTGCGAATAGCAAGTGTGACAGTCCCGGCGCTCCACGGCAGATTACCATCTCCTTTAGTTTACCTCTCTGAATTTCCTTATTTAATATACGCGAAAGACCATCAGCAACAAATAAAAACAAATATGGGGAGAGAGGGTCTCCTTGGCGGAGGCCACGCGACGGAGAAAATTCCTGGAGCTGCTCTCCGTTGAGGCGAATAGAATAACGCACTGTGGTAACACACGTCATAATCCAGTTAATCCACCTTTGATGAAAGCCCAATTTATGCAAAATTGCCTCTAAGGCTCCCCAATCAACCCGATCGTATGCTTTAGCAAGGTCCAACTTATAAGCACAAAAATCTCCACGTTCGCCTACACTCTTCTGCATAGCATGGATACACTCAAACGCAATTAACGCGTTATCCGTGCCCAAACGTCCCGGGATAAAAGCACTTTGAGTAGGGCTGATGATGTGCTCTAATAATGGTCTTAATCGGTTGACAAGGCACTTTGAAATAACTTTATAAATCACATTACAAAGACTGATAGGCCAAAAATCTTTAACATCTTCTGGGTCATTGATTTCCAGGATTAACACAATAGCAGTATCGTTAATCCCCTTATCCATAATTCCTTCTGTGAAAAATATACGAACTGCTTTGATTGTATCTTCTCGAAGCACCTCCCAATGCCTCTGGAAAAAGCGAGCTGGGAAACCGTCTGGCCCTGGAGCTTTTAATGGGCCAATTTGAAACAGAGCATCACTAATTTCTTTATCTGGAAAACCTTCCCATAATTGTGCATTCATGCCATCCGAAATCACGGGTTCCAAAATTTGAATTAAAGGTTCTGGATCAACAGCCAGGTCCCTTGTGTATAGGTTTATGAAAGCTTTGTTCACGAGATCCGCATATCCTCCTTTTTGTCCAACCAAACACCATCTGTGCCTCTAAGACGCTGGATCCTGTTCTTCTTGGAGCGCCATGCAGCTTTACGATGAAAATACTTGGTATTCTGATCCCCTTCACGCATCCACACAATGCGAGAGCGTTAGAACCACATCATCTCCTCCTTGTAGAGAAGTTCATCCATTTCCCGACCAATTATCATTCTCTCTTCTGCAGCTTGTTCAGACTGATCAGTGAGAAGAACTTCCAGTCGAACTCTTCTTTTCTCCCTCAGTAACATTCCCGATACGCCTGCGGCCCCAACCATGCAGCGAGCCCATCATAGATTTCAGGTTACCAGCAAAATCACCCAGACTTCCCACCGGTCGGGCGCGCTCCCAAGTCTCCTTAACCTCCTGGAATAGGTCCTCCTCTCTTTCCCAAAAAATCTCATACCGTCTGACACTGCTCCCCAACCTTCTTGGTTGAGGCAGCTGCACCTGTAGAAGTAAGGGGCAGTGGTCCGATCTTGGAGAAACCAAGTGTCGGACTTGCACATCCGGAAACAAGATCATCAATGCCGGATTTGCCACTCCCCTATCCAACCGGACTTTAACATTTCGACCACCCCGTTGTTTATTATCATAAGTCCAAGGTAGCCCAAGATAGCAGTAAAAACTGCCAAGCTTGGAAAATACCGTCATGTTTAAAGTTTGATACTGCCAAAACATGACAGTAATTACTCCTATTTTGGGAATAAAACCATGATAGTCCTATTTTGGAATATAAGAAGAAAAAATGGCATGAATACAACTCTTGGACTTTTATGAGACATAAATGTGACCAAAAATTGAATGGACAAAAAAGTGAGAAGCGCACGTCTCCCATCTCCTCTTCTCCAATGCACCCCTGCATAGTTTCTTCGTCTCTTCTTCTCCTCTGCGATTTTCTGCCTCCCCCTCTTCTATGCCGCCACAATGGCCGCAACCTCTCTGCCACGCCGCGCTTCCCATCGCATCGCCGACCGCTTGCATCACCTCGCCGACCACTCCTTCACATCGCAACGCTGCGCCTCGGCGTTACCTCGCATCAGATCCGTGGGATGGCGGCGGCTAGGGTTCAGTGGCGAGTGGTCAGGGCTGGGATGTTGGAGGTGTGGCTGGGAAGGGGTGGATCGAGGTTGTGTCGTTCGGGGCTGTAGCTAGATCTGGGGGAGTGGGATGGGGCTGGGACATGGGCCAGGGCAGAGGATCATGGGAGTGGGTTGGGCTATCAGAGGTGGGGCTGGGGAGGGGTTGATTGGGGCTGGAACAAGGGGAGTGGTCTGGGGGTGGGACACGGGGCGGGGCTCATGATGCCGGCCGCTGGAGAAGGGCGGCGACAGGTTACCTGCGGTGGTTGCCGGCAGTGGGTGGAGGTGGGAGGTCAGGTTGAGGTATTAAAGCAGTGGGAACAGGGGGCTGGGGCAGGGGAGTTGGGTGTGGGGACAGACTGAGTGTCGGTGTGGGGGTTGGGGTGTTGGAACAGGCTGAGTGTTGGTCTGGGCGGTAGGGATGGCGGCTGAACGGCCACGGTGCTGGTGGCAGCGATTTCACGGATCGAAAACGGTTACGGTGACATGTTTTCCGGTGATATTGAGTCAGTGACATTTAAAAGTGACATACAAATCTGGTAGTGACATATGACAGCGACATAAAAAATTCGCAGTGACATTAAGTTTTTCAAAAAATATGACCTTTTTAGTCACTTTTTTGTCCTTTTATAGAAATGATCACATTTTTGGAAATTGACTTTAATTTAATAATATTCAAGGCAAAAGCCCAAATAAGACTGTTTTTAGTCCTATTTAGAGTAATTTCCCAAAAATTAATAGTAAAAACTAACTTTACATATTAAGAAATCAAACTAAAATTCTATTGAGTAGAAAAAAACGAATTTGAATATCATAAGAGTATTTGAAATATTGAAAGAGTTCAGTAGACTACATCAATAGTGAGCAGGAAGACCATATAGGGAAGGAGGTAGTACCATTTTTCATTGGGCAATTTTTTTATTTGCTTGTGCATGTGAGAAGTTATTTATATTAGATACTCCGTATTACAAAACTTAGACAGTATGTTGAAAAGTACACTTTTGGTGTATTAGTTAGATAAAATCAGCGGAAAGCAGTTTTAAGTGCTCTGACTCCTAGTTAGAGTTTTAAAATGCATAAAATTAAGCCGAGGCCCCTTCATTAAAACAAACTACTTTTACCTTTTTTGTAACAAAAAGTTCAGAAGTGCTTTTTTAAGCAATGAAAAACGCTCCTTTAGACTTTGCACCCCAAGTTTGACCTTAATATTTGACCTATCACCCACTACGTGCTCTAAGATGCAAATTCAAATACACTTAAACATGCGGATCAAAGTCAAACAATGGGAGTAAACACTCTTAAGATGCAAATTCAAATACACTTAAACATGTAGATCAAAGTCGAACAATGGGGGTAAACATGGGGTGCAAATACCAACTTCCAAGATGCACATAAACAAGCTGCAGTATGTTAACACAGGTTGCAAATTAAGATCCCTGAATAGCAATAATGTGTTCAAAAAATAGTGGAAAAAATCAACTAGTAACTCATTGACCAGATACCAATTGATTCGGTAAGTACAAAGAGCAACGAGGGCTAACCTTCCAAACTAAGATGCCTTTACTTCTTAGAAACTGAGCTCTCATGTCAACTGTGTTTGCCCATGAATCACTGATAAGCTGGACACCAGGACCCCCATATACATGAATCATAGTTTTATATGGTGGAGGTCCAAACCTTGATTCATCTGGTTTATATAGAGTCCCATATAAGGTGGTACTCCCCTCTTTTGCTTGTATCTGAATTATCTCTGGCGTTTCAAGTTGGAGCATTTTGAATCTTGAAATACTCATTGGGGGTGGTTGATCATGCAAATGCATGATGAAGCTTCCATCATGCAAAGAGAATAATGAGATTCTGGGAGGTGAAACCAATGAATCAAAAATGTCAACAAATCTATGCATCTGATGATCAAGCACAACCACATGTTTTCCTCTTCCCTGAGTCAATCTTAACGGTGTTTCTGGAGAGTTCAACTCAAGGAACAGTTTAGAACAATAAAGGTGAGACTCCAAGGGGCTATCAAAAGTGCCAGTAAAGTATACAAACCCAGCATCTTCATTGATGCCTACCACTTGCTCAACCATCCAATGACCTTGAGTTAAAGGACCCAAGCATTCTCCGTTAGAATCATGCAAATACAAATGTCTGAATCCAGTTTTCTCACTTGACCAGAGAAATTGCCCAGGAGATCTAGTTTCCAAAGGTGTGAAGCAATCATGCAGATTGATCCAGGTGTCATTTTCTTCAACCAAAAGTACTTCTTTTTTGCCAGTCTTGATTTCAAACTTCAGGATTTTTAGTTTGGTATGTGATCTATTCAAAACCTGAGCAGTAAGAATATTTCCATATATCCAATTTACCCTCACCAAATATTCATCTTCATCATTAGTAGCAAACTTTCCTCCGCACACAACATCCATCCAAGTTACAGGACCTCCATTTGAAGACACTACTCCAAGTTGAACTTTTGCATTTGATTCCCCGGAAAAGGGGTAAGCATGGTCCTCCTGTGCCTCTGGACCAGTCCAGCTTTTACCATGATGCATGATTCTGAGAAGAGGTATATCAGATGAATCAACCTTTGTAAATGCCAAATATTTGCTGTCCAGTGACCACCAGAACCCACTCTTTCGGTCCATCTCCTCCTACATCAAGCAAAAAATAATAATGTCATTTTCAGAATATCAAGCCACAACCAGTATATACTTCATTCTAGGGACCTGAGTTTTGAATTTGGAAATGCACTGCCATCAATACTCCCTTCGTCCCATTTTACTTGTCTTACTTTCTTTTTAGATTGTTCCAAAAATAAAAAATAATTGTCACATTTCTTTTTTGGAAATAAATATGTGGTCCACAACATTTCACTTTATTATACTCAAATCTCAACCACAACTTTTACTTTTTCTACCACTTCATTAATAATTGTGCCAAACTAAAAGAAGACACATAAAATGGGATGGAGGTAGTAAGATTTAGTAAATTTTATCCAATATTTGGAAATGAACCAGAGTTACCATCATTCAATATATACTTAATTGGTATGTTGCCATTTCGTGTGTATATATGGAACATTGAGAACCTTGAAAAAATCCATCTTTGGGAATTTAAATAGGAGCACATTGGGAACCTTGAAAACAGAACTACTCCGTATAACATAATGCATTAGCTGCACAGTGAGTTCAAAAACAAGGGTAATTTAGGTAAGTATAGAAAAGTTGTGATTGATTTTAAAAAATTAAATAACTTACGTAGTATGCCTGATTTACCTAGTATAAATAAACTGGACAGGTAAATAAGACCGGAGAATGGATCATTTAAAAGGCCATAGTAGTAAAGTTTTACCTTCTTCATAATAACCTAAATAAATAATTAGGATTTAGAAACATAACTTTGATCTTACCAGGGCTATATATTCAGCAAGACCGTGCACCTGAAGATGGAAAGTAAAGTACAGCTTATCACCAGACATTTAACCATCACAGCAATCTAAATGAAATAGAGTGAAACAAAAGTAATAACTAGCCATTCCACTCACAGTGCCGAAAAGAGAATTACTAGTGAAGCTCTTAGAGTTTATTGAATGTGAGGGGCGGGTAGCTGTAAAATATTAAGAAAACTGATTCAGCAAAGCTAATGAAATCCTTACAATTACATTTCCTTTGGCACCAGATGTTAATTGGTTGGAGTTATTGTGGAGGAGGTCCAATACATTAAGCTCACTGTCTTTCACAAATGCAAGTTTGGTCCCATCAGGTGAAACATGTGGATCTATAAAAGGCAAAGATGAGGTACTGGGCATCTTAAGTTCCAGTCCTCCAAAAACATCCTGGAAATATATCTGTTAACATATAAAGTGTAATCATCAATTAAACTGACAATGGTGAAGTCCATTTAATTTCGAGCATAAAGTTTATACTGTGGACAAGAAGATAAAGAGTTCCAGATAGATTCCGGGTTTAAGACACTAGAAAACACACATGTAACTGGAGTGGTAATGCTTAAACCCAGTAAACACAACACAGTAATATGATGTTCTCCACAAGCTATACATACTTATAAAAATTATTACTTGGTAAATCATAGCTTCTCGTTTATATCAACAAATTCTTCTTCTTTGAAGTAGACGTGGGGAAGGGGAAGGAGAACAAGAATTAACTACAGGGTCAATACTGAGAATTGGGAGGTCCACTGCAGTAAAGAAAATGTGGCCTCTTGTTCGACTTTACACACTTATTTATTTATATACAATTTACTTTGAATCTAAGCTTTTCTTTTGTATTGTGTAGCTTCTCATTAAGGATAATAAAGACTTGATATAGATATAAACATAGTTGTTGGTATTGGTTAAAATCTTTTACTTTTTCTTGTTACAATAGATATAAGGTTAGAATAGATAAAATCAGGGTGCATAACTAGGAGATACGCTTGAGATTGGATTAACAGCTATTCAAAATAGATTAATGGAGAACGGGTTACATTAGTTTGGGCGCATCAGTTGTCAAGAAGTACACAGTAGGGATGGTGGAGTCTTAAAGTGTTGGAGATATTAAAAGATGTTGTGGTATGTTGAAAATGACTTGAAATGAAGATGTGAAAATGGGCATCACAGTGCTGTAACTCATGAACATATGGTATATGACATGAAAATGTGAAAAACAATGATTTACATCAAAACATGTCATCATTAATAAACTTCAATAAATTAAAGATACTGCAAACATTAAGAATAAAGTCCATATTTTCAACTTCACGTGGCATTACTACAAGAATAGTATGGTGTGTGTGTCATTCAAATTTTGAAGTACAACTGCACAAGATGATCGAATTGCCTCTTTATTTTGTTAAATCATAGCAGGCCAGTGCCCTGAATCAAATCCTTGATGGTGGTATGATGTGGACTCGCCAGCATCCTAATGTGTCCAAGATTATCATCCCATCACCTTCTGAGTTCTGACAATACTGGATTCAATTACACGACTATCCAGATTTATTCGTGCAACTGCCAACTATAAAAGATATAGAACTATCCATTTGAGCCCTTTTCAGTGTCAACGGAAAGCTATATTACATTTCTAAAACTTTTATGGAGACCATAATTCCCACATTTTAAGAGTCATTTTTATATGACCCAAAATGATATCTAGTTGTACATTTTATCATATTTAAGCATAGGATTATCCACTTGAGCTGTCTTTTAGGTTGTTAGAAAGCTAAGTTCAAGTTCAACAAACTATTAATTTCAGTCTTTCTTTATGTCATTGGAAAGCTAAATTGATGTCCTAAAACTTTTATGGAGACTATAACTCTCAACTTTTTAAGGAGCCAATTTGATTTTAAACAGTTTGGTCTACCAAGTACACACTTCAAAATTTTTAAAGGAGCCAACTCTTTCAAATTTGCGAAATATAGGCTCTATGAAAGTTTTAGGACTTCAAATTATCTCATTAATGACATAAAAAAGCTTATGTGGACAATTCTAGATCTTCTACTTGATTGCTCTTTTAGTCTTTTCATAATCTTATAAAGTAGCATGTGTATGTAAAGACCGAGAAGTGTGAAGGACTTGTAAATCTACCCATATTTATCAGAGATGGACTTCCCTCACCTTAACACAAAGGTTTGAGGTCGAGACATATACACTAATAATTATATTTTTAGAAAATCAAATTTGGACCGAAATTAGGCAATCTAAATGTAAGTGGCTCTAAGTAAGCATAAGTTAAGAATTCCAGTTACTTATTATCAAAAGTTATACTAAACCAAAAATTATACTTTGTACAACTCATATGAAAGAGAAGGTGGCAGGCTAACAAACCCCGGCAGGTAACGACACCATAATGGTCTTCCTTGTTGAGCTTGTCTTCACCCACTCATATCGTGTTACACCTAGTCCACGTTCCCGTGACCTCTCCCTTCTCAGTTTCTCTTCTGCGGATAAATTATTTTCATCAAGACCGCCATTTGGAGGAGTGAATAGTAATTCTTGCCTGCCACTCTTGAGATCAAATGCATAAACCTTCCTATACAAACTTTGGTTGGGACTAAACAAAAATGTCACCAAACTGTCATCAGGACTGAAACTAAGTGAAATCGGTACTCCATAACCAGGCAATGGGTACTGCACTATTTCCTCAACAGGAAACATGGAGTAATCCTCTGGAGGCTTAGGAATGTTTACATCGGCAAGTGGCATTTCACAAGATGATGATCGTGAACGTTTCAAACTTTTCTTGTTATTAGAGTTAGTAGATGATTGCATTACATATGAAATTACCAGAAGTCTGCATTGAACTCTCAAACAGATCAATCTGCAAGCACCAAAACTGGTATCAATACCACCACAAGACTAAACTCCAATCCAACAGTAACGGAGAATTGATACTACAAAAGCCTTTTTAGAAGCTTGAAAAAAATCAAATCCCATTTTTCACAGAATCAGAACCCATATAATATAGGGAGTATCATTTTGCTTCTGATATGAACATATGTTTTTCAAAGGATAAAGTTTCAAACTTTCGATCAATTTTTTACCCAAAAAATCTACTCCGTATTTACTACTCCTATGTGCTTTCCCTTGAAACACTACTAAATCAAATCTCGAATTCTCAATTTTAATTTTTATACAGAGTAAATGAGTTCATTTTTTTCCTCTAACAATTTTCCACAAGAAAAACCTACTAAGAAAACAACTGATTACCAACAGGCGGGTCGATCCAAAGCAAATCTGTGGCTTTAGATACATCACCAGTAATTATCAACTTTACCTACAGAAGTCTGATTATAGCTTGAATGAGACCTTAATTTGAGAGAGAGGTCGGATAGATCGGCAAGAAAGAGCAAGAACTTCGATTCCTCACAATAAAAACGTTTTTCTTTTTTCGTTTCGAATAAGAATCACAGAATGAAATAGGAAGTTTAGGAAATTCCGTTATCGACTAAGAACGCAAGGAGCATTGGATTACTCGACCGACGTGCATGTATGGAGTGCATTCCTCTGCAACACAAATCATGATTGCCGCCATGTTGTCGACTGAAACTTTCTACTATAAGTCAAATCAAATCTTTGTTGATTGGATGAATAGTTTTCTTTGAATCTTCAATTCAATCACCTGTAAAGTATAAACCATATTTGTAGGTACCAATTTGTACGGCTGCTTCTAACCAATTTTATGGAGCCATATTATTCTTTTATTGTTCCAAGAGGTGGAATCTTCCACCTCAGGAACCCCCACCCCGACAGGAGTGGGGAGGTTAGTCATCGTGACTCAGTCAGCAGAATGACAGTAGGTCCATACACCCGTGCGCACCAAAGGTCCAGCCTTATTTCAGGTTCTGTGACCTTCACCCGATCGCTGCGAGGATTCGAACTTTGGTCCATTGTTCCAAATCTCCCACCACTCGACCAACTGAGCTACCCGTGAGGGTGATATTATTCTTTTATTTTGTGCAATAAATCCATATACAAATTTGATGTCAAACACCTTCTTGTTCCATGAGAGATATACTATAATACAAATATAATACAAAAAATCGGTATATCGCACTTATCGTATCGAAAAATACCGAAAAATACCGGAATGTTGGTATACCGTCATTTTCGGTACGGTATCATACCGTACCGATTTATTTCGGTACGGTAACGGTAAATGTTTTCAAATACCGCGGTATACCGATATAATACTGTACCGGCGTACCGGCTTCATACCCAACAATTACTTTAAATTCTAAAATATTGTAAAAGTCCATTACAATTTTGAAGCTCAAAATTAATACTTAGGTTGGTTACACATACTAAAATACAAAAAGAAAGACTCAATTCCCCAAACCCGCTACAAGTGTTTAGCTTAGGTTTCTACTACGTAACTTTCAAACAATTAAATAAACATAATGACTAATGAGTAATGTACTAATGTCTAGAAACTAGTACATCTTGTTCCATGAGCTTGTGAGTCGCGATGGCTGAGAGCCGCTGAGTAGCTGACGAGTGAAAAAATGATACACTTATGTGACGAATATATCTACATAGGGATGCACACAATTTTGTCTCAAAGTCTATTTCAAATATTTTTTAAAATTGAAAAAATGACGTAAATACACAATATCATATTAGGGATAGATGATTTTGTATCCATGTTGTTTGAATAATTTTATTTATTTTTATATTCATTTAATTATATCTATATTGTTCAAGTTATTTTATGAGAATGTGTTATTTTTTAATATGTGACATGTTGAACTGCTTAAATATACTAATAATTATTATTGTTCAATATTGAATATGACATCAATAGATTATTAATTGTATTTTGTAACGTTTTAATAATTGATTAAATATGTCGCTAGTAACACCGATTTAATAAGTATATTTTGTTAGTGTATGATAATTTGTTGTATTGTGAGACGTGCACGGTAATTTACCGATACCGTACCGATATCGAACCGAAACTTCGATATACCGAAATACGGTATACCGAAACTTCGGTAAGGTAACGGTATATAAATTTTGTATACCGAAAGTTTTGGTATGGTAAAGGTATGAGAGAAAATATTAGATATACCGTACCGAACCACCCCTAATCCCATTACAAAAATATGAATTTTATCAATCATGTAGGTGAAGGATACATATATTTCATAAATTCGGAACCTGAAAAATGAAATATGTCACTATATGATCTGAATGATTGATAGCAATCAATCAAATGCCTAAAATCCGTAGGCTTTGGTTTTTTAAATTTTTTATTAATTCCATTGTTAATTTATGATGAATTTTTCTTCACTAAAAATTATTAGTTCAATAAAACTAAACAATATAAAAAAAAGTAAAATGAAAATGTTAACAATCTTTATGGAACAACTTCCTTTTATTTCATTTTTTATATTCATTGATTACAAGATGACACCTTTCTTTTATCCTTGACCTTAAGATTCTTCAATCTCTTATGCGTCAAATTCTCATTTGATGATTCACGCACTCTGATGTTGTCTTCAACAGAAAATACTATAGTTGATATTTCAGCTTCATTGAATGGAGTTTTTTTTGAGAGACTATTTATATTAGTGCCCTGAAATGTGAAGCCAACCACTACACCCTTGTTTATCATTAATCCAATTTGACACAAACGCCATAGAGTTATATTACAACCATTGATGTCACATGTCATAATCTGATGTCTAATGTTAGCATTTGTTAGTCACCCTCTTCTCATTCACCATTTGAGGTAGAATGCTATAGAAAATGAATTTCAATACAAAACATGTGCATCAAAGAAGAGAGTTTTACATGTTGTTTTTTGGGATTGTACATGTGAATGAACTGTCACGATTGTAAAGTTACATGGTGTTCAAATGTTTCAGATCATAAGATATTTTCCCATATAGTTTTCATTATCTAATCATTTCACTGTGTTCACTTATTCCATATTTTGACATTCCCTCCATTAGTTGACACTTTTTGTTTTCATTGGCAAAATTTCATCACATGTTTGAATACACATATACATGTTGTTCCTTTGATTTTAGGGAATGAAACAATAGAAGTCTTTCGTACCGCGCTGTTATAGAGCTTATTTGTCATAAATATTTATATGCTATTAAGAAATCATATGCTCCACATCAAATCTAAAAAGACATGAGTGTGACACATGATATTTTAATGTCATACAAAAAGTCCTGAAAAGCTCAAAAGCTAGCATTGTGAAATACCTCAATGAAGAAGAAGCATGATCAAATCAAATGATCAATGAGATACACAAATGCTGAGCATCGAGAAATTACGAAATAGCTCAACATTGGGTGGGAGACTTATGTTGATTACTTACTTAAATAGAGATAAAGACTTCTCATGTACTAGCTGTCTGGTTTGGTACTTATGTAATACCTAGCTCCAAAATCCAACCTACTTTGATAAAGGTTTGGTGGTTGCATGTTTTTTTTTCTTTTTTCTTTTTCCTTTTTTGGTGGTTGCATGGGTATTTGGTAGAAAATTTGATTTTTCTACACCGACAACATTCTAAGCCTCGGTCGTAAATTTTTTTGGAGCCCGCTAACATGAATCACAATATGAAATTGAAGTTAAAAGGGAAAAGAAGGATAAAAATATAAAAGGATAAGTTATTATGATAAAAATGATAAGATAAAAATAATGATAAATACTACCTCCGTCCCCCTAATATTGGGACAGAAGGAAGTGATATGGTTTTTTAAAAAAAGTAGAATTATGTGATTGATAATGAGTTGATAAAGTGGGAGTAAAGTAAGAATGAATTAGAGTCACACAAATGTTACCAAATATGGTATGAAACAATAATAGGGGGACATCCAAAAATGAAAAAATGGGACGATTATAGAGGGACAGAGGAAGTATAAGATCAAGATAAAAAGATAAAAAGAATATCTATAAAAATATAAAAGATAAAAGGATAAAGAACATAAGACATGTAAAGAGGGTAAAAAGATAAAAGAAAATGATACGAGATCAATAATCCGCACGAATATATGTCCTTCACTTTCCTCTCTCCAAAACTATACCCTCATCCAATTCAAGAAGAAACATGTCACTTATGAATCATCTAATCCACAAATATTTGGGTCTTCGTCTATCCCTCTCATCCTCGCCTCTTCTCCAAACCTCTCAACTCGTCTAACATGTGTATCATTCGATCTTCTACGCACATGACCAAACCACTGCAATCGAGATTCCCACATCTTATCTTCAATAGGTGTTACTCATGTCTTTTGTCTAATTGTTTCACTTCTCAATTGATTTTTTAAATATGTCTACACATCCAACACAGCATGTACACATCTGCCACACTCATATTATGAATTTGACATTGTTTTACCGCCCAACACTCTACGTCTAACTTTTCTAATTCAATTTATTTTTCCAATTGCTATTTTAGCTTTTTTTGAAAGGAAAACTAGCATATTATATTAAATCAAACTCTCAGTGTGAAACTGAGAAGCGATGCAATTAGAAGAATTGCAAATAATAAAATAATCATCCGACACTACCCTCCATCTAATCAACAATAAACATAAACCCACCGGTCCCCTCATTCCTTTATCAGACATAGAGTAGTCCAACCCAAAAAGAGCGAGACTACTCGTTGAAAATGTGAGAGCTTCGAGGCTATTAGCGGCTGAATCAGCCTTGTTGCCTCCAAACAAAAATCTAGCAACTAAGAGCCTACCAGCCTTATTATTTGGTCTAATAAAATTTAAATAAAGACTAGTAAATACTTCCTCCGTCTCTTTTTAGTTGCAACAGTCAACATTTCACGTTTGCCAATGCACAACTTTGACCGTCATTATATTTAATTCTATATTAGTAAAAATAAAATAAAAATCAGGTTATAAAACTTAGTAATGAGACGAATTTAACAATATTTTTCAAAAAAAATAATTCACATATATTAATAAATAAAATGTAGTCAAAGTAAAGTACATAAATAGTGTATATATTCCAATGTTGCAATTATTACGATACGGAGGATATTAGAACATAGCAAAAGTAAATAAACTTCATTTGATGGACCAGCGGAATCCATGCTTCAAGCGTCGTCTCCCCAATCTTAGTCACGCAGTTCCTCTGTGGCGGTGGTTCAGGAGGAGGACGAACAATCCACATACCATCTTCTTTCTCCACCACATGAATCTGGAGTGCTCCATAGCACATCAGCAATCTACATCCCAAATTCGCCCTTTACATCAGACCCCAAGCCGCTAATGTTCCACCCGGATCAAATATAGTTGATGCAGCTTCCCTCTCAAACGCCAACAAAGCCACAATAGCCAAGCCAAGCATCGCACAACCAGACCTCACAACCCTAGCTGACGCAGATCCACGGCCACCTCTGAAACCGCTGACAACTCCTACTTCTTGCAATCGACGAAATCGCATCGTTGGGATTCTCCTCACTTTGCCAACCGCTGCTTGACGCAGCCAAGGCCTCACGCTGACGCTCGAAACCCGATGAGATCGTCCGTGATTGCCTAAAAATCCGGAACGGCCTTAGATCTCCTCTTCTCGTCTGGACCCGCTGCTGAAGACTCCGCCTCTCCTTCCGCTTCGCTCACTGTCAGAGAGCAATCGGGCAGCAACCACCGTGAGAGACTGCCCTCACCCTTCTGGATCGTTAAAGAACTCCACCGCCCCTTCCCCTGTACTCACCTTTCAGTAATCGGAACTCAGCCTCCGTGAATCCACCGCTGTCGTCCGCCAAAACAAGCCCTAGACATGCTAGGTTTCCGCCGCCTCAAAGAGCTCTCGCTATTTTAACTTATATATACTGTCAAATTTCTAACTTTTGTGATATATAAAACTTTTAGATAATAATTTCTAAGTATTCAAATATTAATTGTTAATAACACCGGAGATATAAGAGTTATTTATTAAAATATTAAGAGTTAAAAACTTAGTTTAGTTTCTATATATATATATATATATATATATATATATATGTATATATATATATATATATATATATATATATATAGGGAATGGTCTTAACGTGCAAAGTGCAAAGTTTGCACTTTTTCATGTTTCGCTTGCACATTTTCTTGCTTTCGTTGCACATTTTCGCGGTAGCTCAAAAAATTGGTTTATTTACAAAACTGTCACCGTCAGTTTGACCGAATTTGGCCAAAATCAAAATGACCAAAAAGTGCAACGCAAACAACAAAAAGTGCAAGCGAAACATGAAAAAGTGAAAACTTTGCATTTTGCACGGGAAGACCACTTTTCATTTGAACTCTTCCCTATATATATATATATATATATATATATATATATATATATATATATATATATATATATATATATATATATATATATATATATATATATATACTCCCTCCGTTCTTTTTTAGTTGCAACGAACGTCTTTGACCGTAATTATATCTTAATTCCATTAGTTAAAAAATATTAAAAATCAGATTTTGAAAATTTGTAATGAGATGGATTGAACAATATTTTTAAAAAAAATAATTTTCATAAAATAATAGCGGTAAATGTATTGAAAACAGAGCATGTGAATAGTGTAAAATTCAACATGTTGCGATTAAAACAGAACGGGTGATAGTATATAATAAGGATCAAATGAGAAGAGTGCTTATCATAAGAAGTGACAATGCATCTGGTGCGTTCATTTTAAGATCTGTGCATCAGATTAGCAAAAAAGTGCATGGGAAAGTGCAAAATATATTTAAAAAGTGATGCTAGACGCGGTGGCATTTCCGTAATTAATCGGAACTTTTCTGCCATCGCAAAAAGTGCATCAGATTAGCAAAAAAGTACATCAGGAATAGGTAAATGTGTAACTTCTCACTTCTCACGTTAAGAGATCAAATAAAAAGAGGTTCTCCCGTGCAAAGTGCGAACAATTGCACTTTTTCTTCACCGCGTTGCACTTTTGCGTGTTTCTGTTGCACTTTTTCGCGATGGCAAAAAACTTCATTTTAAATATGAAATTGTCACCGCGTTTTTGATCAAATTTAGTTCACTTTTGGCTCATTTTGAGCCATTAGATCTCAAAATGAACGCACGAGATTATTTCTTACTTTGCAGGGGAAAACTTCTTTGTATTTGAACCCTCCCCTATATATATATATATATATATATATATATATATATATATATAGAGAGAGAGAGAGAGAGAGAGAGAGAGTAGTGTTCCGGTCAGGGAAGTGTCGTCCGAACGGCGCGTTTGGCCGCCTTCCCGGTGGAATTTTTTGATGAAATTTTTATGACATGTTCTTCATCAAGTCTAATTTATCCACACAAAAATCAGCTAAAAATTCAATCAGGAAGGTCGTCAAATGAGTTTTGTAATTTAACTGCGCCGGAAAATACATATAAAACGCAGTTAACTTCTAAAAATCATTTGACGACCTTCCCGAATGCATTTTTAGCTGAATTTTTTTGTGTATAAACTAGACTTGTTGAAGAACATGACATAAAAATTTCATCAAAAAATTCCACCGGGAAGGCGGCCAAACGCCGCCGTCTGGACGGCGGTTCTGGTCCGGAATACCTGACCTGAACTTTCCTCTATATATAATTATATATGTGTGTGTGTGTATATATATATATACACACACACACATATGAGTTAATCATTAATACTATCATATAAGAGTTAATTTTATCAATATACAACCGTTATAAACCGAATTGGGATGAAGGAGAAGGATTGAAGGTAACAGCAACTATTAACTACCTACATCTCAAAATAAACTTCTCACTGACTTTTACATTCTTCAATACCAAAATGTGTCAAAAGGCAACCACTGAGGCTTCATTTGTGCTGTTGATGGATTCATTGAAGAACTGAACTGTAACTTATACTCAAGTACAACACAGTATCAAGTGTGGGTAAGTTTTCTCTACAACCATGGCACACACACAACTCAAACACGCACAGATCGACCATGGGGGTTTTCTCTTCAGGGAAAAGAAAAAAGTTCATTACAAAAACAAAAAAAGGAACTAAAAAGAATGTCCTTTAGGTACCAAGACTCGGAATGCAGACCCCGGCAATATCAGCATTTTGATGTTCCTTCCATATCCTCCCTGTAACTCTAAGCTTCAGTTCCTTCCTGTCCCCACCAGAAAAGAAGAGTGCCATGTTACGCTGGATGATAAGACCGTCATGACTGTCCCGGACCTTACGATGGCTATCCCGGATACTTCTGGGAGTTCCTTCCCATATGAGTTTTCTGCCATTTCCTCCCACCTCCAGACTGTAGGTGTAAGTGCGAGCTTCAGACTCATCACCCATAAAACGAAGAAAGGCCGTGTACACGGGTGCCATGCCTAGCTGGAAGGCCTCAAAGTGAAGGCAGAAGTACTCTCCAAAACAATGAAAAACCTAGCATGGATTCAACGAAGCCTCATAAAGCATGATCATGAAGGTGATATCATGTCATAGTTTCATACTAGGAGGCAATCTGGTACAAGAAGTAAACTACATTTATGCATGTGGAATGACTTAAAAAGCCTAGCAAAATAGTAGCTTGTTGAGACAGACTGATCTGGTAGTCTATATGCTCAATGTTGAGATTTATGGGGTGCTAGTTGTTGAGATCTATCGGGATCCAATTCCTTGTGTGAATTTAATTGTTCCGATATCATATTAAGTTTTTAATTCTATCTTAGGTCAACATGAGACATTAGGAAAAGGTAGTCTAAAGAGATTAGTAGTGAATTTCATACTTGACCGGTGTTGGGTGGCTTAAAATATGACGAGCACATGTGATGGCTTAACAAATGATTAGGGAGCCATGCAAGAAGAAATCTAGCTAGCTTAGCCCCACACCTAGAGCTTAGGGGCCCGCCTAGACCACCTTTTGTAGCACCATTAAAAGGAAGAATAAGTGAGCTGTATATGATGGACTTCACTAGCTGTCAAACGGACCGGTCAGCACGGCCCATGGCAGTCTACATGTTTAACAGGGCAGGCCAACCTACTTAGGCTGTGTTTGCAAACACTACTCGTAAGTGCTTTTGAACTTTTTAAAGTGATTTTGGGAAAAAGTGCTTAATAGGAAAAGTTGGTAGTGTTTGAAAAAAATTGATTTTGAAAAGTTAAAATTGGTAGTGTTTGGTAAAATAAGTGCTTTTTGTGTAATAGAAAAAGTAAAATGCAGATTTTAGCTTTTAGCTTTTAAGTATTAATTTAAGTAGAAGTTGTCGCTTGAAAACACTCTTTTTAACTTTTTTAAGCCAAAAGCTGGGAAGTGCTTTTTTTTAATTATTTGCAAACGGTGCCTTAATGAGTTAAAGGCAGGCCAACCTACTTAATGAGTTAAAGGCAGGCCAAAAATTCGAAGGCCTTGACCCAACCCACTTAAAACTATCAACTTTGCCAGCCAAGATATATTTTTTAACAGGGAAAATCCTTTTAAAATAATTATAGTCTCTACTACTAAGTTCTATCGGAAGAAAACATTAAATAAATGTTAAAGAAAATTAACTCTTATATCTGATGAAATATGAATACTATTAATTAATACTCCTTTCTTCATGAAATGTTCATTATGTCCACCAAATTTCACCTTAAAGTTTAATTGGGAAGTCAGTTTAATAAATTATTGAAAAACATTGCGCCAAAATATATATAAAAATGCAGTCTTTTTCAACAATTTATTTAACTGACTTCCCAATTGAATTTTAAAGTGAAATTTGGTGGACATAATCAACACTGACGGTTCTGGTTAGTTGACACGCTTGACAACAACATCTCTCTCTCTATATATAGATAAGAAATCAAATACAAACCATGCTTAAAATACTAACCTACAAACTCAATAATATGCAACACTTTGAACTTCAATAAACAATACAAATAATGTAAAGATGCACACTGTGAGATTCAATATGCAATACAAATAATATGCAACACTTTGAACTTCAATATGCAATACAAATAATGTAAAGATGCACAAGACAAATAATATATATATATATATATATATATATATATATAGAACTTATCCTGTCCGAACGTTCGGACAGGAGGCACCGTCCGAACAACGCCGTTTGGGGCGGTTCCCGATCGAATTTTTTGATGAAATTTTTATGGTATGTTCTTCATCAAGTCTAGTTTATCCACAAAAAATTTCAGCTCAAAATTCGATCGGGAAAGCCTTCAAATGATTTTTTGAAGTTGACTGCGCCAAATTATACATAGAAAAACGCAGTCAACTTCCAAAAATCATTTGAAGGCCTTCCCGATCGAATTTTGAGCTGAATTTTTTTGTGGATAAACTAGACTTGATGAAGAACATACCATAAAAATTTCATCAAAAAATTCGACCGGGAACCACCCCGAACGGCAGTGTTCGGACAGAGGCCCAGGTTCGAACGTGTCCGATCATTTGTGTGTGTGTGTGTGTGTGTGTACTTCAAATTGCATTTCTCATTTCTAGCATATAAAGATCAGCTAAAATTGAAATATTCTTCTGTTTTATTTCCAAACCAATTAATACAGTAATGAAGCCAACGCAACAGTATCAAATGTTGAGCAAAATGGAAGAGTGTTAGGTTATGAAGAACACAATTTCAACACAAAAATTGGCCAGCTATTTAAGGCTCTGCTTGGAAGGAGGAAAATGCTAGGGAAAGAAATAGAGAAGAAGTTATAGGAGAAATTCAGAAGGAAAGAAATGTTGATGAAAAATAAAATATTGGTTCAAACTCAATTAATGTATTTTTAATACGTAGTATATTTAGATTGCATGATTTTTATTTATTGCTTCTCATTTACAAATGGGAATTAATTAAATTATATGCAGAATTTTTTAAAATTGAGCATACTTCATTGTGATTTGCATTTCCTGAGGTAAATTTAAACCTAAGAAAATAACTTTCCTATTCTCTACCATTTCACAAAATTCTAACAGTGTATAGAAGAAGAGAGAAAGTGATCCACTTACAGTCAGCATCCAAGTGGCATTTTCTACTTCTCGCGGATTGGACTTCACATAGCGATGGTTGAATGTGCATCCCAAGTGCATGTCAACCTTGTGGTGATCTCTTAAATGAGAAACCAAACAAGGGATGTCCCCAGTAACTGAGCACTCCGACCCAGCGTACGGGCAGTTGTACGGTCTAAAATTGCAAACTGACTCGTGTTTAAGCTTGCTGTAATAGGGAAATATTTCAGCACATCCCAATGAAAAGTATTTGCACGGAAGCTCAAGAGACTCTGCAACTTTCTCTAGAGCTAAGCATCTAATATCTCCAAGATCTTGTCTGCAAGTTGGACATCTGTTGTGAACCCTTGTCTTACAAGTAGAACACAGAGTGTGACCATTTTGACACTGCGAATGCACATTTTCATTAAACTAGTTGTTAATACCTTTAAACACAATGACTTGTAATGGGAAAAGTACAAATCAACCAAATTGTACTAGTAACTAATCCTTCATATCAAATTGAAAACTTACACACTTGAGAAGAAAAAGAAATAATATTACAAATAAACGGATTAGTGGACAATGACATAAAGTCAAATTTGAGCAAAAACATATGTTCTTTTAGCCTAATGGTCAAGTATTGATCAATTGAAGGAAAAGGAAAAAAGACATGTTTGGGTCATCAATGAGAAAGTCCATAAGTGACTTGTTTGAAAAAACTATTAAGGGAACATTGTGACTAAAACATCCATAGTTTCAGAGATTCCTAATATATGACTAGGAAACTTAAGCATGCATCCATATGAGTGTGGTAACTGCATGAAAGGAAAAAATGAACGCCAAAGCAGTTATCATACATGCAAAACACCATTAGATTAGGGGGCAAAAGCCATTTAAGCTGCTATCAGGAATCAGAACCTCTTTTGCTCATACTCCAGATATTTTTCTCAACTATTAGCTATTCTCAAACTAAAAAGACAATTAATTTCATGACAGGCTCAAATTTAACACACAGCAAAACAACACAAGCACGGCCACGAATGGGCTTGCATGATTCCGGATTTCGGAGGATAGAGAGGAGATAAATGACTTTCATTTTACTAATTTAAATCTATTTGTTAGTTTTACACTAAAAATAACTGTCTGATCATTGATCAGTTAGGCCTAGCTTATAATCTTCACTTTGTTTCCAGCCATCTAAATCTAGAAATAATTTAAAACTATTTTTTATCACTTCTGATCCCCCCCCCCTCAGAATACCGAACCAAACAAGCTATAAGAGCAAAAAACCTATCCACAATTATAGTTCATAGGAAAGACATTGACAGGAAAAGGAGACAATTTGTTTATTACAAGAAGATGCATAAATAAGGTGCCAGCATGACAGACCTGGTGAATTGGGGGGTACATAGAATTGGTACAAACAGGACACTCCAGCAACTCATGAACACTTGTGGGTGCTGTTCCTGAAGAAAAGATGCTAGCCGGAGGCTTATTTGAAGAGGTGTACGGATGGTGAGCGATTACAGACGATTGGATCACTTCCTCGGACATGCCGTCCGATGATGACACGCAATGGATGCTTTCAATATCCATGGTTCTGAAGATCTGAATATCAAACACCCACCCTTCTTTTCAAGTTTTAGTAATCTTCCTCGGTTATTATTCTACAAAATTGTTTCTTGGAATTGGGAATTTTAGGCGGATGCATTATTCTTGACTCTTCCCTCAAATTCTTCTCTGATCTCAGAAAAACAAAGAGAAAGAAGAGTCGAAAGAATTGTTTGAAAATAAAAAAAATGGTAATAAGAAGAAAGTGGAAACAACCAGAGGGGACACCTTTTCACTGAAAAGAAAAGATGTTCTTTTCTTCTCCTCCGCTCCATCTCCTTTCTTCTTTCTACGAGTGTCCTTTCTTTTTCCTTTTCTTTCGGTTACTTTAGATGGAATTACTTCACACACAATTAATTATTCTCCGCTCTTGGGTGAAATTTGATTCACATGCATTTTTAGTAGAAAATAAAAAGAATATAGAGTCGAGAAAATTGCTCCATGTAGGACTTAATCAAAGCATTTTTATAAAAATAGTACATACATATGTTTCTTCCTTCCGTAAGAGCTATGCAGTACTAATTTTGAAAACTTGATTTTAAATTTTCAATTTTACCCTTATTGTCATTGTCTGCTATTGAGTTATTATTCGAAATTATTATCTGTTTACTGACTACTTAATGTTATGTATTGTCTAGTGTTTGCAAGTTTGATTTTGGATCTGATTTCTTCAAAAGTTTTGCAGAACACATGGGCGTCCACCGCCACAACGCATCATCGCCACCACCGTATCTCACTGATTCCGATACATCTCGTCGGCGCCCCTGCTGCCTCCATCGTACCTCGACCATGCCGACTCTGTCGTACCTCGCCCCTGCTGTGTTTGCACCTCATCATCGTCGGTGTATCTCTCCGCCATTGTCGCGCGCCCACTGCACTCGCCCCACAACTCGAACCCTAGCCGCTCTCGCCCAAATCTGAAATAATACACGCTTCGCCGATCGCAACTCAATCGTGAAGAAGTAGAAGAAGAGAATGACGCACATGACTGAATTGGAGCGACGTACCTAGAAGATTGAATAAGGTGGCGGAGACGATTCAAGTCTGCTGTGTTACCATTGTGAGGGGAAGGGGTGACGACACGAAGACGGCGGCGGCCAGAACATGGGAGGAGGCGATGGCGACGGCCAGGACAGGGGAGGAGGTGACGGCGACGGCCAGGAAGGGAAGGAGGCAACGGTCAAGAAGGGAAGGAGGCGACGACAAGGGTAGCGGAGATTTGAGTCTTCTTCGAGCAATCCCAGGCGCGCAGCAGAGATCTCCTTACAGCTTGAAGGGATGCTTCGCTGGGGTTTTAAAATGAAGGGCAATTTGGTCAAAGCTCCTATACTTAAGTCTTACCCTAATCTATAGTCTTAATTTTGGAAAATTAGTATGATTAAGTCTTATTTGTTGAAATCTCCCTATAGAGTCGCGATCCCGCTAGTGTAGCTTGTTCCGAGGAGTTGTGTACATTTGTCTGGACAGACAAATGTACGCATTTTGTGTACACCTAACAAAATTGTAAATTTAATTAGCATGTCGCCCAGATGGGACTGTGAGGGACATATAAGTGTACACATCTTGTGTACACCTAGCAAAATTGTAAATTCAATTAGCATGTCGCCGAGATGGTAGAGCATGTTGATATGAAGCAATAAAAGTGGCCTTCAGGGTCCCTTCAAATCCTTCCATTTCATTTTGAAAAAATTAAACTCATAATTTTAAATTTAAGGGTATACTCCGTATTTGTTTAACTTGCAATCTTTGTGTTTAATTGTTTTAAATGAAAGTTAACTGATATATTTCATTATTTCTCCTCTTATATATATTCAAGAATATATATTGTAGCGTCCTCTCATAAAAAAAGTAAACATTATTTCCATCTCCACAAATGGGTATAGTAGAATAATTTGTACCGCTTATTAGTCATTACCAAATACGTAGTACTACGTATAGATATGAAATAACTGAAAATCACCTAGGTCAACAATTTAAATTTGATTATTAAAAACATACGTACTATTTCACAATTCACACTACTGTAAATTTGTAAATTCATACTGTTGTAATAAAACTACAAAAAATGTTATCTACGTATTGCATAAAATAGAATTAGAATCGTAAAAAAGTGTGGTCAATGAAAATATTTGGTAATGTGTTGATATTAATTATGAGAGAGTTTGCACTAAACCTCATGTACATATATTGTAGCATTAGAATTTCCTTGGGTATTCTTAGACCACCCTCTGCAGTACCACCTTCTTCATTGACATCTCTAGCTTCAATTTTGATTTCTGCATAATCCCTCAACCTCCTATATTGTTCTTTAATGTCCCCTTGAATCTTTGCATTTGCCTTTCTTCTAGCTCTATAACACTTTGCAAGACTCATTTCTGCCCTTAACTGTTTTTGCACTGATTTTTGCATAACACTCACATCCCACTCAGGATTTTCCCTCAACTCATCCATGTAGGTTTTAGCTAAATAGGTACTAGTCACCAAGCTGTTTCTATTACTGAAAGGGCATTCATGTTTTGGCCTAAATGTTTTTACTTGCAAGGACTCACATTTAGGAAGTTTTGATGCATGAATTCTGAATGAACATATGTCCTTGTCTTTGCACTGACTTTTGCATAACACTCACATCCCACTCAGGATTTTCCCTCAACTCATCCATGAAGGTTTTAGCTAAATAGGTACTAGTCACCAAGTTGTTTCTATTACTGAAAGGGCATTCATGTTTTGGCCTAAATGTTTTTACTTGCAAGGACCCACATTTAGGAAGTTTTGATGCATGAACTCTGAATGAACATATGTCCTTGTTTTTGCATACCACACTGATTTTTGATCTATTGTTCTTCACAAATCTGAATTCATATCCACCCTTGACAGTCCATTCCTTAAGAGCATTTCTAAAAGAGGTATGTGAGGTAAATTTCAAACCTTTGGACAATTGTAGATTTGTAGCTCTTGTTTCTTCATTGAACTCTTCATACTTTTCATCACCATCTTCAGATCCTACAATGCTATGGAAGTCATCACTATAGCAGGGACTATCATTAAACTCCTCAAGCTGCTCTTCATTCAGATCCTCTGGAACAAAAGGGTTGGGTTGTGAAGTTAGGTCTGGATCTGGTTGTGGTTGTTGTCTTAAACTAGCACTTTCATCATTAAATACATCATCTTCACTCCCTTCCAGGTCATCATATAGCCAGCTAGCTTCACTGAGATTGGAATTGGAATGGTCATCTGAATCACTTTCAGATCCACTTTGATTCACATAATCTTCTTCATCATCATCATCATCATCATCATCACTCTGTAATTCAATTTCAAGAAATGTAGTGGATTTACCCACAGATTGGTGTGCATCTCGAGCTTGGTCTTTATTTTGTCTTTGAGTTGGGATTGAACTTTGGGCTTCATGTGAAGATTGGGTTGTTTCTTTTGGTAAAGTACCCACCACCCGTTTTTTACTTGTGTTTGCAACAAAGTACAAGTCAATGTGTGAGTCCATTATGTTACACACCAACATGTCTTGGACATCTTTATCACATAATATCTCTTGCAAACTTAGTGGCCCACACAACTCCCTTATCGCGAATCTTCTAAACCACATTTTTACCCCATCTGTATAACCCAAATATGCTGCATACCCCTCCAATTCGAACTTCCTCACATAGTAAATGTCTACTTTATCTTTTTTCAAAACCTGACCCACTTTCCACCATGGTGAATTATCAAATTCATGTATTCACTCATTTCCAACATGCACATACATTGAATGCGGACAAACTACACATTCAATACCATAAAAGAATGAAAATTTACAGTGCTACAGAGCCTACACATACCCATTAACACTTCCAACGGACCCATTCACACATTAACTAACCTACCAACCAGGTTTCAAAACAACCTTCACACCCTAACCAAAATATGTAAACCAAACTTGTAAACAAACAATAGTTGGAGTACTTACTTTCACGTCAGGACGTTAAGGAGAAAAAACTACAATTCCATGCCTCAGTGCTTGCGTTCTTGTCTTGTGTCTGCTTCGACCAACAATGTTTGTTCTTTTCCAAATGGAGGTGTAGAATCGAATGTGAGGAAGAACTTCTGTATCGCGCCTAATTTGATTTTCTTCAGCCTTAATTTCACTTAAGTTTTTCGTTTCTAAGTAATTCAAATAATTGATCTTGATTGGCCACGTTGGAGCTTAGTCGGGAAAAAAAGCCACGTCGCACTTTACTAACAACTCATTTCCTTAGTCCTCGTGGTGGTAACGGTAGCAAAACATGAGTTTGCGTTTGTTACAAAGTTCATCACAGACCTCTAATTGCAAACGGCCACAACCACATGTATCTATTCAGTACTTTTCCCTAAAAACAATCTCACCCGACAAAGAATGGGTCTTCATAAGTTTGTTTAGTCTCATAATTCTCATTGAGTCGATGCTTTGGACTTTGGAGGTAGAAGATGAAAGGGTAATATATTTACATCATTAATGTGTATTTTGCCTAAAAACATTTATGATCTGCAAAGAAAATTGTGGTGCATTTAGTCATTGCATATACATTTTAGACTATATTCATTTAACTACAAGGGTAAAAAATAATTAAATGAAAAGAATATAAGTTAATAATTTACATTTATTACAAAGTACTTAATAATTTACATTTTTTCTTCACTTCAATTCACGTGGATGAATAATTTCTATGAAGAAGAAAAAAGCGATACAAATACAGTCTCAAGTAGTGTTGGACCGGTACCGGGCCGATCGGCCCGTGAACCGGTCTGACCCGCTATTGTGCGGGCCCGGGCCAGCCCGGGAGTCGGGTACCGGTTCCGGGCCTAGGACCGGCCTGGGGAGTTAGGGCGGGGCGGTTCCGGGCTGAACTTCCTTTTTTTATTTATTTTTTTTTCAATTTTTTCCCCTAGATGGGCTGGGTGGGGGGGGGGGGGGTCGGGGTTAATTAGAAAAGCAAAAAAAAAAAGGACCAGTCCGGACCCGGTGGAAACCCGGGCCGGTTCTGGGCCTTCCCCCAACAAAAAAAGCCCGTCCAGGACCGGCCCGGCCCGGAATCGGTCCATGGCTAGTCTCAAGATCAACATTGCTAATTGAAGTAAATTTCTATGTGCGAAAAAAATTGAAGCAATCCATCTCAAACAAAGAGATATTTTATGTCATACTCCCTCTGTTCCTATTTTTTTTCTAATTACGGATTACGAAGTTTGACCAGTGATAAAGTTACATGATTCCTATGAAAACTCTGATTATTTTTAGTAAACAAAATTTACATATTCAAAAACTACATTAAAACCGCTACATAGGGATGGACTCGGGCCGGGTGGCCCGACCCGGAATCGGCCCGGGACCGGTACTGTTCCGGCCCGGCCTGACTCGGTGGCCTAGGGTTGGATTCGGTT